TATTTTCACACGTAAAAATATCGTATTTTTTACGTGTGTTTAAATACGATTTTTCTCAGTGGCCAAAAAATCCATATAACACTTATGTTTATATAATAAATTACACTATGGGCAACTTATTATCTTACCTGTCTCTTTTTCAACTTAAATTCCTAAAAGATATATAAGAATAGTCAGTGTTACGATATAATTACTCCGCCTGGCAGGGCCGGTTGTTTAAAATGGGAGAACTTTCTGTTTTTTACTGCTCCTGGTCAGGTTTAATAAATGTATAAAATTCTCACTCATAATTTGCATCTACAGACCTTTCAACAACTACTTGTATCGAGAGTGAGACACCCAATACACTGATATTTATAATTATCATACTACAACACTCTAAAATTCAGGGTGCCCTTTTCGCTTGCCATCCAACCACGGAAGCAAAAAGCCCTGGGTACGAGGTCGTCTTAAAATAAATCGGTAAACTTAATGCAAACGTTTTACTCTATATAAGTTATTCATTTCGAGATTTACGTTTCAATACACTGCAAAATATATATATGTTATTTACCGGATTGGAGGTCCGTATAGAGAAATATTTCTCGAGGTCTTAAAAACGGCCCGAGGCCGAAGGCCGAGGGACGTTTTTAAGACCGAGAGAAATATTTCTCTATACGGACCGACCATACCGGTAAATAATATTTTTATTTTTTTTAATTCCTCCTCTGGATTTCCCCAATCACTCCTCCCGCACGCGAATGAAGCTGCCAAATAAAACGTCGTTTCTATCAATGCTATCGGGAAGAGTAATATCTTTTGTGAGATAGTAAAATTCGCTTTCACTATGTTCTTCATCGTCTGCAGACATTTTAATATTTTAAAAAGTAGCCTTTAAACTCGTCTTTAAATTTTTAAAAATAGAAACATTGGCTCTACGGCATTAAATCTCGCGCGGTCCGTACGGGCTCATACGGACCGCTCACGTAGCCAATCAGATTGCAGAAAAGCGTAAAATATGACTTCGGACTGCAAGAAAAAAAATAAATCATAGTATGATGACTTACCACAGGCACTGGCAAAGGCTCCTCTACTTGTAGTCGTTTTAACTGCCTTGAATATTTTCCAGGAACAAAGCCTTTATCCCCGTTAACGTAGGCTTCAAAAGCTTTCGAGAGCGCACCCAGCTCTCCCGGTTTTTCATCAAGGTTTAGTTCAGCGACGGCTTTATAAAACAATTTTCTTATTCTGTCTATATTTCCTTGAAACTGTCCGTATATCTGTGCTAGTTGGTCATCCATTCTTTGATGTTTTGGATCTGTTACCAAGTTGGTCACCGCGTCATAGGTCGTCTCCAAGTCCGCAAACATCGTCTCAAACCTAGCAACCTTTCCAGCGATCAGGCCGCTTATAACGTAGGCTAGATCGTTGTTCCCCTGAAGATACTTCAGTTCGCGGACTTCGACCTCGATTGGAACTCCAATGCCACCCTTACTTTTCTTTATCTATAGTATTAAACACATCAAAATCACTTGGGGCAGGAATTTTCCCCTGTCTCTTTTTAATAACTCATTAAAAGCAATTACAAATGCACCATCAGTTTTGAAACTTAGCTTTCTAACACGCCCTCCAACCATTGATGGAATGATGGAAGAAAACAGGACGGCATTTATGCATAAAGTTACCAAATGTTTTGTTTCTGTACTCAGGTGAAGATATATGTTTATGATGTTGTTTCAGAGTGTGTCCACATCGATCAACCTGAAACGTTTGCTTGACCACCGTGGGAATCGAACCTACGACACCAACCTCGGTCCCAGGGGTCTGTTAAAGACCCTGGGAACGAGGTTACCGGCGACGCTTGGTTTTATAGGCAAGCGAAGTTATATGGCAAAAAAGACTTCGATACATTTCATAATGTTTGTATGATCAACTTCCGGTATAGTCTTTAAACTGTTTATTACACAATCGAAATAACCACAAGATAAATCGTTTGCATTGCATGGTAAGCCAAAACATAACTGTTTTTTTCCAATAGATTGTTATATATGCTGAATCAAATGGTGGTAATTTCGTCTCTATAACTTGTACTAAACAGCGATATTACATATAACAGACATCAAGATCTGTTATTATATGGCTTTGACGAAAAAGATCTATTTGCAACAAAATGAAGCTCAGAATGTACGTTTACAGTGCCTTTAATTACTCCTGAGTCACGTAATATTGTTTTGAGGCCTTTAAACTTTTCTTAACTTTATAAAGTTCTATCAATAAATTAATAACTTTGCTGACTATATCCTGGAATATCTTAGTAATTCATGTCATTAATATCCAGTACACGTCAGCATGTACAATCTACGCATGCTCGTGAGATTGTAAAGGAGTATAAGTAGCATCTGGTTTGTAAATTCATTAGTAATTCAGTTCACAACACTAAATATTGATTCAATTAAACGATCTATCTATCTAGGCTTTACCTGTTTGCTTCGAAAATTTTCTCCGGACAAAGGAAAACCCATATAAACAAACCTTGTCTGGGAATTTATTAATTTCTTCAAGAATCGTGTCCAAGTCAATGGGCGTGTTATCGGGTAATTCAGATGAAGTATAAGAGATCTGCAAGTTGGCAACGCTGCTAGCAGCTTCTGAAAGACTCTGGAACTGTCCCTTGATACCGACATTCACTTTCTTTGTATTCACGTTTACTTCAAGCGAAGCTTGTATGTCTTCTTTCGTTTCATCTTGCTTCGCGATATACTTCAAAGTCGCAATCAAATACCCACCGTATGTAACGCTGCGTACGTAATGTCTGTCACTACCGATTTTGTCGCGCCAGTTGTTTATCGGTATCATTACGTCATCAGTAATCGTCTTAGTTACCTGAAATAAAGTTAAATGAAAATAATGACTAACTTTAACTCTAGCTTTATCGACAGGTCCCCCTGGTTAAGTCTGTTGTACAAATAAACTTCAGTTAAAACGTAGTTAACGTTATTAACTATGAGTGTCGTCAACTTCTTAAAACGTAGTTTAATTTAAATGGTGCTTTTAGGAGTGAACAACATTTTTGGACAAGGAACTGGTTCCCAATCCCTGCTAATCTCTTCTTCTTAGGGGCGACCCTATTCGAAAAAGCCTAAGGCTCCTTCATTTTGAGTCCGATCGTCATGAAATTTGACAGGATAATTCTCATCAACTGACGGTGCCTGATTTTTATTTTCGACTTAGGGGCAACGTACAAGCAGGGCGTAGTAAAACACATGGTATTTTAATACGCCGTGGTACAAGTTTGTCAGTTGATGGACCTGGTATTTATTCTTCACGCTAATAACTTCATTTGCAGAAACTGATTAATAGAGAAAAAAATTTTAAATCTTACCGTCCGATAATATATTTGGACCAACATTTCCACAGAGTTTTCGCTTTTCACTGAACTTTTCAGGTACGATCCTTTTGCTTGAACATCGACCAGACCTGCCATGACCTTCACAGATAATTCTCCCGAGATATCCAAAACATCGCTGACATCTTTTTGAGATTTGATCATCTTAAACTTCATTTTAGACATGTCATGACGGCTCTCAATTGCATTGCCCCGTACGGCGTCCCCAACCAGATCGTATCCAACGCGAAATTTGTCAGAGTCGAAAGAAGTTCCGAGTCGCATGCCATTAATAAATGGAACGGTAGCTGTTGCTAACGACGGGGAACTAGCATGAACAACAACAACAACAACAACAACAACAATAGATTGATTCTAACTTAAAGCTTATTATCTACACATTTGGAGTGTCTAGAATCCTAATGAAAATGATAGACTGATTGGTAAAGCCTATAATGAACCCAACTGAAAGTGTGTCGGTCAAAGTAATCTAAAAGTCAAGGCATTTTTTAACTATACAACTGGGGCCCCCAGCCCCCATGGTGGCCCCCCAGCCCCCACGGTGGCCCCCCAGCCCCCACGGTGACTCATGAAGAATGGGAATGAAAACCCCCGTATACCATTCTAAATACAGTTGTAGCTGGACATTTCAGAGTGAAATAACTTTAAGAAAAGGTACAGAGCAATTTCTGTTAGAGACTTAAAACGGTCCAGAAATACTGAATTTAACCGACTTGTGATTCAATGAGGTCATTTTCCAGCTATTGTAAGTCAGTCATATGCCTTTTTCTCGGCAAAACTAAAGAGGGAAATTGAACGCAGTATTGTCATCACATAGATAAACCATCTGCTCTGGGATTTTCTTTCAATTTCACAACGGAAATCTGCTCAGTTCAAGTAGTCAAGATAAAAATTGGTGAGCTTTTCATTAAAAACCCAGTCTAGTGAGAGCAGAATTTATATTCGATTAAAAATCCGACAGCTTCAAGGTCATTTTGTCTCCATTGCTCTTCTAAATCAGATTTTAATTTTGCTTCAATAAGGGGATGGTATTCGCTCGTTCTCATATACTTGATTCATTGGGTCCATATTGTAATGTAAACAGGGATGAAGCCAACCTCCTATACGAGCAACGATAATAATAATAATAATAATAATAATGATATTTATATAGCGCCTATACATTGCTGTCCTAAGCGCTTAAGATCTAAGTCCTAAGCGTCCTAAGCGCTAAACGATTAAGCGGCTGATATTCTGATATTGCTGCTTACCTTTGAAACATAAAACACACAAATGCCACTGTCAGACCAACAACTCGTATCATACTATATGGAAAGAAAATACGAAAATGAGTTAGTATGTAAAATTTCAATTTGGTAATGATCCTTTTTACTTTAATATTACTAATTGATTCATACCTGAAATTGTAGTTTTTCATCTAGCAAAAGGAATACCACTCTTTCGTTCAGTAATCTTACCAAGATACTGATGAGATTCTTACTGCTAAATATCTTTGTTATCCGATGTGATGATGTGATCTGTTGCCATGTGGTAGTGGTCACCAACAAAAGTCTTTTTTATTTAATTATTTTCGAAACATTATTTTCTATTGTTCTAGACTTGTACTAGCTGGTTGAACAAAATTACAGAGAATCATGCTGAGAGCTTTGTAATAAAGAGTACACCTTTGGATCCAATTACAGTGAACTTTATTTAAAATCTTTGGCAGTTGTTTCAGTAATTAACTTCAAACTTTATTAATATAAAATAATAAGAAATAATTTTCCTTATGACTATGTCTTTGTCTATGACTATGTCGATCTATGTCTATGTCTATGTCCATCCATGACTATGTCTATGACTATATATGTGGCCTGCATGCATTGACAGCATTGTATATTTCTTGACCTTGCGTAATTGTTTTCGGGGTTTTACAATCCGGTTTGCATATACAATTGAATATTTTCTCGATGCTGTTATATAATATTATTCCACAATATGCGGTACTTCAATAATGCAAGAAAAAGCTTAGCCAAGTCATAGGCTATGACATGGCTAGGCTGTTTGTTAGCCTGCAAACGACCAAAATCACAAGCGCCTGCTTTGCTAGCTAAATTTATATATATATATATATATATAAACGTTAATCAATGGGCTGGAAGCCATATCATATAATACAGCCCATTCATGAAATCATGAAAGTCGAAGAGGATAATATTTGACAAATATGATTCCAAATCTGTGGCCAATGGTGCAAGAAAGATTGGATTTCGAAATTCCATGTGCATGTAAATCTGCAAAATCTTCACCAAATTTCGAAGGACATTTTTGGGTTGATTTCAAGGATTTTCCGCAGAATGTATTTTGCGGATTCCAAAATATACGTTTGATATTTTGATTGTGTTTTGTCGGCATTTTCTAGGGTTTCAGTTACGCAAATTATTCCGATTTTGATTTTATTTTTATTTTATTTAGTAACACAGCCATCGATATCTATTACCACAGTACTTTTAACAACAACCCGTAAATTGTATGGCAATTAAGAACTTATATAAAACTATAATTACACTGCTGTGCAAATATTTCAATAAAATGCCCTGCATGTACATATTGCCTTCAGCTCCAAACAGCGTGAACGCTTGCGGGTATTATATATTGTAGTTACATATTGTCGTGTAAAATTTGACAAAATGATTCGAAACATTAAGTGTAGCATGCTTCCATTTGTATTTTGGATGCGAAATTCTATCATTTATGGAAACTTTATTTATTCATGATCAATATTTATTTAGTACAATGATAGACTTATTGTTACATGTAGTTTATTAACAATAATAGTGTAAACGTATTGATAATAAAAAAATTAGTATGACTGTATTAATCGGTGTAGTTCAATCCCATTCCTTGTTATAATTTTACAGAATATATAATTATGAGGACCTGCAGGATACTTCATAATTTTCCTAACAAAGTAATTTCCTATACATCGCTGATTAAACTTTGGATGTTTCATAATTTCAACAAATTGAAAACTTCAAGAAAATTGAAAGATAAATTTACCAATTTTTCACTGTCTCTTCATTTTTGTTGCTGTTCGCATTTTAATTATTCTTGACACTCTTTACCCAGTTGGATTACTTATGCTATTATTCATTATTGTGAAGATTGGATGCAAATGCAATCCACAAAATTAGTAAAAATAAAGATTTATTTCATAGTATTTACTATTTACATGTAACACTGCTATAACATCCGTTTTCAAAGTTTGTGAGCCTCGACCAGACCTAGTATAAATACTGTTTTTTTAGTTGAGACTAAATCAGTTTTGTGTCACAAAAACTTGCTTATTTACGTTAAAGCATATATAATACCTAAAGAAGAAGAATTAATCGAAATAAAACGCTTCAAAGCAGATTTTATAACTTTGAGTTCAAAAGAACATAATTTAACGCACTGTGCGTCAACCATTGTGTCAATATGTTTGCGTAATAGACTGTTGTGGACATAATATATATTTGCTTTGCTTAATTTATTTTGTAATAATTATAACTAAAATATCTTGAGAGTCATTCAAAATTATTTTCATAAAACGACAATGAATTTTGGATTGACATTAAACCTCAAATATGTAGTCGTTTCGCCTTTCCGGCTAGTAGGGTGATTTTGAAAACGGGTGTAGGTTTTATTTCATCACTATATGAATTATTAATGATTAAAAATTCCATACTTGCTAAATTCAAAGTAGAATATCACCTATTGTGGGTATTCACATCAAATATACGGCGATTTGGTTTGTTTTGATATTTGACTGCAAGAGCAATCCAGACAATTTGACTGAAGAGCAACACCGTATTTCTCAGGTACAAAAACAAAAAAATATTCTCTCCGAAAGAGAGATTTATTCGATATTTCGACTAGACTTTAGTCCTCATCAAAAATTATGAAATTACTACATAGCAATATGTAGGTAAATGAGATGTTCTATATTTGTTAAATATTATTAGTTATGTAAAAGTTTTAGTTCCATGGTTAAGTACTCAGGGTTACTATGATATAGGTTTCAATCTTCGCGTCGCAAGGATTCTTAATTGAACAGTCAATAGTAAAGACCAGTGGCAGTGCGCAGTGGCTAGTAGCTCTATCGATTTTTTACAGTTATTGAACATAAAGTCAGATAATATACATTGTATGTTTAGTTAGAGTCTTAAATTGGTGTGGTGTTAGTTCCATTACAGTTTTGAGATAGTTAAATTGTTCATATGACTGCTTATGAAATACGGTTTAGACCGGCTTACACTACTTAGTAAGAATATCTAACACTAAATTATACCACGAGCTAGCTCGAGTGGTATAGTTGAGCTGATACACTATTAGGCCATGCAGCTCATCTGCTATCATAAACTAGGAAAGCGAATGGTATAGGCATAACTCATGTTTTATAAATAAATATAGCTAGTCCTATATAGCCATTACATTAAACACATAGCAGAATGGTAGCTAATTTTAGTTGAGACCAGGTTTTTAATTCATTGCATGGTGTTAAAGAGAAAAGGTGTTGAAGTGACTTTTCTGTCACCGGAAATGGATCGATTCTTACTGCTTGTGTACAATTTTCACAGTCAGTATGTGACATGACAAGCATTCTTTTTTTGTTTCTGTCAAACAAAGACTGATCTATATATTTGCCGGGCACTGCGGTTTCCTCCTCATCTCAGTAGAGGCCTTGTGATAAAGTTCGCATACAGACGAGTAAGTTTTCTGTAACACATTTTCCTTGACAAGTTTTGCTTGTTTGTGTGTGCAGCAAAAGCTGTTGACAATTTTTCCCTTGACAATGAGCCTTGTTCAAAAGCTAGCCATGCCAGATTTTCAACAAGGAAAATTGTACGGCCATCAAAGAAAAGTTAACAAGTAACTGCGCAATACCTCACTGCGCACTCATCTCATTGCATTGCATTACATTGCATCTCCAAGCGAGCATTGCTATTAAATATCGTTTTATGTTTTGAAATTTGCTTTTGAAGTGAGGTGGTATCAAGTCAAGATACTAATTTTCAAAGGAAACTTGATCGTCTGCCCTGGATTTGACTCTAGAATTGGAAAAAAACGGTTTAGAACTAATCAAAAATTATACTTTCCATACTTAGATTCAATCGCTTTTGCACGCAATCCCACAGTTTTGACCAATTTTGTGATATGAATCTGAGAGCATTGGGTTTTATGCTTGCTTTGCTAGCACTTCAAAGCCAAAGGTAAGAATTTATTTCACGTACAATTTCCCCCAGCTATTTTGATAATTCTATTATCGACAATTTAAAAATTTATAAAATTAAGTCGACTCCTCTAAATTTTGTAAATTTCTTTATAGTCACGTGGAATCAGTTTCGGTTCCTTTTATTCCATCAATGATGCTTGGTCGTACGTTCGACTATTCGAAGTCCGCAGTTGGAGTCGACATATACGATGCGAGCGTCCGAGATAACGCTGTCGTGAGACACGTCGACAGGTCTGACGTCAAGTTTAAGATGATCAAAAGCAGTGAAGATGTGAGAGACGTTCTGGATGTTTCCGGACAGTTGTCTCTGAAAGTTATGGCGGGCGTTGTGGACGTTGAAGGGAGAGGATCTTACCTGAAAAGTTCAATTGAGAGTGGAAACACAATTGAAGTTTTGGCGCAAATATATTATCGCACAGTAAGTGACTTAAGCCGGTTTTCCACTAGGCGGAATTTTGCGCGCGGAGCGGAATCTTTCTTTGTCTTTTCTAATTAGTTCCACCCGAGAAATCACAAGACATTGATTTCTCGGGTGGAACTAATTAGAAAAGACAAAGAAACATTTCGCTCCGCGCGCAAAATTCTGCCTGGTGGAATCAGTGTCGAATTATTATCAAGTCCCGTACACGGACGAGCAAGTTTCCTTCGCAAGTTTCTTGACGAGTTTACTTGCTCCTGTGTAAATTCGTAAATCAGCTACTTTCAGTTCCTTTAAACTCGATTGCACAAACATTATTTCAACGACGGCAATGGCCTCTTTCTTAAGGTAACGAAGACAATCACAGATGACAAGCAACCAATATCCGGCTGGGATAGTAAATCAATTGTTGGCCAACATTACATACGCAGTATAACATATGGCGGTTACCTGATTGCGTCATTGAAGTTTACAGCAAAGAAGACTAGCACTAAAGAACACATAAAAGCAAGGCTATCAGCAAGTTTGAATGCAGGTGTAAGTCTCAGTGTTAAAGGTCAATTTGAGAAGCTTACACAAGCTGCTGGAGACACTGCTTCAATGTCCATCTATTACACTTCCAGCACGATACCTGACCTAGCTCCTATTAACCTCACGACACTTCTGACAATTATCGACAATTTTCCAGAAAAGGTTTGTACCGTGAACCATACAAATATTTCACATAATATTTCACATGTGAAAATGCCAATTTGATATGTGAACTGCTGCATTCCCACTTATGAATTTGTTGAATTTCACATGTGAAATATGATCAAATGCTCAATTCAATTTAGATCAAGTATAACGCCTACCTAAGCACATACAATCTTAACTAACTTTTTATATTTTACAACAATTGTGATGCATGTTACTTAACTGTGTTTATCCTAACCCACTCTGTCAACCTTCCCTGTGGAAGGAAACCTAAGCACTCGGAGAAAATCCACGGCTTTTGGCAGGTATGAAATCTTTTTCAGATATGAAATGTTTCAATTCCATACATAATTTCATATATACATGGAATATCATGATGTAAAATTAGAGTATATCAAAAAATATTAGACTACTGAATTCCAAACAGAACTTGATAGTAAACATTATCCCAACATTACATTCTAAAAAAGAATATTTGAATTTAAAAAATGGATCATGCATCGAATCTTAAGAATGAACTTGGAATCCAAAAAATGAACCATTTAATCCTACGACTGAATTATTGAATCCCCAAAATTGAATATTCTTGAATCATATATCAGATTTTTAAAATCATTGAACCCAAGAATTTATGTTGAGACTTGAATCTTAAGATTGAATCAATGAATGCTAATAATAAATAATTGAATCCTAAGATTGAATCCATGAATCCTGACATGGAATCTTCGTCTCCTAAGATTCAATTATTTTATCTTAAGGTATCGAATCCTAAGAATAAATAACTGAATTTTAATTAATACCATTAAACAGTAAGAAAGAATTACTGAACCCAAAAGATTTAATCACTAAATCCTAAGAATGATTTTTTTTCAACATTTTATAGATAAGGAATACGAATGAAGGACTTGGAGTCCCAATAAAAGTTGAGATACGGGAACTCGGTTACCTAACACAGAAAACCAAGTTCAAATTCTTAGAAAACAGTGGAAATGTCGGTCCCAATATTGAACGATTAGGCAAGATGTATCACGATATCATGGTGGCACTAAATGAAATAAGGAAGAAACTTAAAGATGCAAGATTAACCGACGCACAGGAAACAAAATATGGAAAATTTTATGACAAAATTATGCAAACACATGGAATATTCTTAGAAACGATTGAAAATCTTGATCTGAATGCTAACACTGCAAGTCCAACACAGTTCGACGCTGCTATCAATGCCTACACGGAAGACACAAATCATTATCTGTTTGGGAAATTCTTAAGGCAATGGCGACGTGTAAGAAAAGAGAACCCTTGGGTGAGTAATGGAGCATGACCAGAATACGAAATTTCGTCACACTCCTAGGAGCAGTCTTGTGTAGGAACTGGAAGACAATCTTTACTTGGACGCGATCTATCTGCTTTCCGCATTTATGTCAGTAAAAGTGGATAATATGCAGTTGTATTATCAGATACACTATAGATATCTTTCATTTTCCGGCATTTCTAGTACTCAATAAGTTATGCTTTGATATAACAATTGGTTTAATGTATTCCCAGCAATGTAATTACTCTGTCTTGCGAAACAGTTGCATATATTGAATCTTAAAAATATTCTTTGTTGTAGGATCCTGTAGAAATTAGAAAGAATAACGAGGTATGACTTCGCGGCCTCGTATACCTAGACGCCTTGAAGTGCCGTTGAAGTTTCAACACGTATCACGCGACGGCATAGCACACCAAAGCCCCTGGGTACGAGGCTGTACAAAGTGAATATTGTTTAAAACTGAGGGATAAGGTTGTAAAAAATTGTAAAGTGCATTACAAAATCTTCATTTGCTTGGTAAAAACTTTGATAAGATTTCTCTTAAGAAATGCTCTTCTCAGGTTTCAAAAATGTAAAATGTTTCTGGAGGAGTATGTCCGCGGACCCTGAGTTGAATCCCCCCCCAATAACAATTTTCTAACAACGGCACTGTTTAAATTAAATTAACCTTACCTCAGATGGGTTTATTTCTTTATAATGATATATGCTTACTGGACCTCCAATGCTGAAATGCTAATAGCTAGTGTTAATTGCTATAGGGAGCATATCTTTTATCGTTTAGAAAAGGGTAAAGGATCAACAAACTATGCAAAATATGGAAGGAGTTATAGGGCAACTAGATGCAGAAACATCATCGTTTAAAAATCTTTACTCAGGTTAGCAAATGACCACTTTTTGAATGATCTTATAATAAAACAGGCACTTGTATTAGATTAAAATTAGATAGATTCGCTTCTTACAAGTTGTCCATTAGACTACTACGAAACGTAACCTGAATTTATCAGTTTCTTTACGCTACTCCTACATGCACATATCCGGCTTGAAGGACCATATGTTGTTCCGCCGAAAATTACATATTTCTTCACAAAACTGGCAGATTTTTATTCGTACCCCAGTTATACCGCATTCGCTTTTTACGACATTAACATAATTATGCCGTTCAGGAGTAATATCTGCCCCCAATTTTCCCAAACAATTTTCGTTTTATTTTATATTATTATCGCAGTTTTAAGTGTTAAGATATTCCTGAAATCGTTAAATTCGATGTCGTGACAAGTGAATCCGGTATCGTGTAACTGTAAAGTTTATGGAAATCTTTTAATGCGGTGTCAAGCGAAACTTCTGCGAAATGCTGATCGACCAACCTTGACGGCTCATAAATTTTGCGCGAAATACATGTGTGCGAAATACATGATGCTTGCTAGATACATAACTACAATCCTAGACAAATAACATGCGGACGCTGATTATAATCAGCCGTATTCCCCGCTGCCCCGTTACAATGTTGTTAGTACAGATACCGCAATAGTTGCCATAATGACTGAAGTGTTCATCAACATTGTTTCAGGGGGGGGGACCGACTTTATGAAGTATATATGAGAATGTTTCAAAAAAATAATTTATTTGCTATGTTTGTCCGAGTAAATTTGTCTATGATTGTAGGTCGAAAACATCTTTTGAAGGTTTATATGATATTTTACCTTTGATATTTTGTAATAATGTATCGCATGTACCTGTGAAAATGGATTCAGTTTTTTATGAGATTAGTCTATGAGATCTGTCATGAAATTAGGAATGACGGTGGTTAATGTAAACATAGTTGCCAGTTTTCATTCATTTTTGATCCTCTATCTGCCTGACTATCTTTTATTCTCTTTTACACAGGTGGCGACGTTACAATATCATTCCCAACACAAAGCGCTAGTACTTACATGATTGATAGGGGATCTCCTGAGATGGATTCGATTATGGCTTGTTTCTCGGGAAAATTAACATCACCGCGATCCTCAAGTCATATTATATCCTATGCAACAACGGCCCATGATAACTCTTTCCTCGTTTACACGACGCGCTCTAATGCAAGACTTACTTTGGTTGATAAACATAAGTTAGTCTTTTTTCTTTGCAATATTACTCTTAAATAATTATCTCATTTGTGGCACGTGGCTTTAGATAAATACAATGTAACCGGCCGTCTACGTTGTACGAACCGCCGCGTAAAGGTCCAGACACACCGGACGCGAATCGAGAACGCGACGCGATTTTTTAGTTTTTGAAAGTTAATAAAACGGCCAATGAGAGCAAATTTTGAAATGTATGTAGACCAAATAACTCAAAGTGTTATAACCTTCTAAATATTTGGAAAATTTAAACTAGGATCAAGGTTAACAAGTGAAAAATGTTGCTCGCCCCGACCAGCTACATACATAAATAAACAAAATGGCTGCACAACTTGTAAGTTTATAACCCAACAGCCACAGGATATACTGCTAAAACCATTTAAGTAGGTTCTTTTAATTTTAAACTCGTTCACACTATAGAGTTTTTGTCATGAAATGTATTGTTGTATGAATGCTGGTGATTTCTCTTTCGTTGCTATAAGGGTGTCCCGAAAAAAGTACACCTTTTGAAGAAAGTTTTCAGTGTTTTCTATTGTAATCATTTGAATGCCTGAGCAAAATGCTGACCCACGAAAGCGTCAAATACAGGGTGTATTGAAAAAACAAGACCTTCCTGAGAATATCTTTATTCGTTGTACTCAAATTATTGGAATATATTTACAGGTATTATGACATAAACACGTTTGGAATGAAAGATGGGAAGTGGCATGGATGGTGCTTCTACTGGGACGCTACTGGTACCAACAATGTGTATAAAGATGGAAAAATCGTTTACAACTCTCAGAATTCAAGAACAGAAAACATGCCCGGGGGTGGGACGTGGGTGCTAGGGCAAGATCAAGATGGAATCGGTCGCAACTTTGAAGAAGGCCAAGCGTTTATCGGAGAAATCAGGGATGTGAATATTTATGGCAATTTTGATAAAAACTATTTTAAAACAGTAGTTGGACCAGCTGTTAGTAGCTCAAACACATGTAACCTAAAATACAAAGGAAACCTAATTAAATCCTGGGATGAATTTAAATTGGGCTTCGTTGGAAATTATGCAACAATGGTCAAGAGTTCCTCTTGCTCAAATTGACATCTCAAGATGAATATTTGTTATCGGCCATACTTGGCTGAAAGATAGTTTGTATAACACGTATGGTAATACGATGTCAGACACTAAATCTGTAATAATTGTTTTTAAGTAGAAATTAAAACTAGTTACGAACGTGTTCTGTCTCGTTTCATATTATAACCCACTGATATCACTGACAGCCCAGCAAACATACGGTTATCCTCTAATAAATGGTTGTAAAATAAACATTCTGGATTTCATGAGTTAAAAGCTAAAGAAGTGTTTAATTAAAGTGCTTCGATTTATATGTTATGCATGCAGATTTTCAGGTTGCATAAAAGAGAAATGGTTGGGTAAAAGAGGGAGTAAAAGGTTGGGTAATATTGAAAACAAAACAACTCAAGGATTGAGTAATACAAATTTATTGTCATTTCCAAAGCATGACTCACTCAAAAATTGAAGACTGGAAAGCAATGTCAACAGTCATATTTTAATACAATATGTAAATCAGTCAGAGTCACTATCTTGATCATTTTCCGATTTGTCGGGAGGCAATGGTGTCTTCAAAGAAAATACATGTGCAGACAACATGACAACTTTACACTGCAGGAAATTTCACAAACAGTTATTATTTCACAAGCAGTTAAACTCATTTCACAGGTATCCTTTTGTAACGTTTTTGGCCAGGGGTTGGTATTTATTTTTTAATTGATATTTAATTTGAGGCTGGGCAAAAAATTATTTGTACTTTTTAATGGTTGGATCAACGAAATTGTTCACCAAGAAAGACATTTCTCTGTGGTGCCACACCCTACCATAAATAACGACCGGTCCCTTACCGCCTATCCGACTGAAACGTCAATATAATTCTTATCAATAACTTATTTAAACATGGAGTGCGGATCACCTATCGTACTCTTCCCTGGAGCCGTGTACACACACTTAGAATGATTTAAATAACTAATTTGCAAAAATATTAAAACTAAGACGACTATGATTTGCTGTGTTGGTGCTGTGTACTCAGGTGAATATGATGTTTGTGATGTTACTCTGAGTGTGTATCCACACCGGGCAGGCTTGAAAAATATGCCCGGCCACGGTGGGAATCGAACCTACGACCTTTGGAATACTAGCCCAGTCGTAGGTTCGATTCCCACCGTGGGCAGGCATATTTTTCAAGCCTGCCCGGTGTGGATACACACTCAGAGTAACATCACAAACATTAAGAACGACTATACTTAAAAGAAAGATTTAAATTCTGAAATTGTTTTACCATTAAGTGTCTGCACATGCAGGTAAGCTATTACATGGGACAACACCTCGATAAGTAATACTTTTCTTAAGAGCCACGTACATACATTCAAGCCTTTCAGAGGTCTAGGAACAGACAACCTTATGAGATTCCCTAGGCCCACATGACCATGCAGGTTCACTGCGAATAGCAAAGTTGCATAGGCTCGAGGACAGGGATACATGGTGTCTTCGATGCTACGTACCCTAGGTCGCAAACCCTCATGATTTTTTTAGTTTTCCCAGCATCGTTATGTTTGTCAGCACCTTTTTGTCTTACTCCACACTCCCCTACCCCATATAATGTTTAGATCCAAGATACGCCCTTGGAAACGTGTAAATAATTAATAAAAAGATGAATCCGAGACAACCAATGTATTGGTTGTTTTACCAAATTTGTTTTTACAGTAGGAAAATTGAAATGTCTTAAGGAACAACTTTTAAATGGGCTACTCATTAATCAGCGATTGATGTACAGTTCAGTTAAATTTTTATTAGCTTTATAAAACTTAACATTTATAATAGCATAGCATTATAATATTGATTATATTACTGCTATTTACAACTATTTTTGTAAATATTTACCTAGCTCTGAAAAGCCCTTTAGGAACGAGTTAATAAATTTGTATTGTAAAATTTCACACTGTCAAGAAATTTGCCCATGCATGCAAATTCGTATGAAAGAATGTTCAACTGTGACGTTGTTGGAAGTATCGTCCACGACCCTGATTTATTTGAAAATCATCAAAAATTCTTCTCACTGGACATGCTGTATTTACTGTCGGAACTTTAACGCCGCCCACCTTTCCACGTCTGAAATCTCGCCAGGATCGCACGTTATTTTCAAACCTTTCAGGCTGACTGCATTTGTTTCTGCTTGCTTGTACTCCAAAATCCTCAGCGGATGTTTCAAATATGTTAACGTTGGTTATTTCACCTTTAAACGATTTAGCTTTGTTGTCATGATTTCCGACTGTCACTTGAGCTTGACCCACCATCCACACACCACCTATAAATACATTTTTACAAGATTACCATAGACTATTTACTTAGGTAGTATGAAACTACATAGACTATTTACTTAAGGTAGTATGAAACTGTCCATATTTATCTATTTTAGCACAGGCGTACGAGACAGGGGGCGTTAACATGCTAGGAAAAATGAAAAAAATTCGGGCAAATTTCAGATAACAAAAAAGTGTCAAATTCAGAATCTCAATGTTGAGACTCTCGCGGGAAAACAAAACTAACTCTTTCTCTCGACCAGACATTAAGTCCATATTAATACCTGCTTCAACTTTTTTTCCAGCAGCGACATTACTTTTCGCTCCTGATTGTTTCACTCCATCTTTGAATACTTGGATATTACCAGCGCTGCTCCAACTGAAACACCATGCATGCCAACTATTGTCGTTGATTCCGAAATCAGAACCAAATTTGCTGCAGAAAATAACACCACAGTCAGTGTCGTGCCAAGAGGGTGTTGAGGAGGTTAACTTCGTCTCGTATTAAGACAATACTTCTTTTGTATGTTACGTAACAGACGCTCAAAGCTAATGTATTTACTTTTACACTTCGGGTTATAACTATATTTTTATTTTTTTAAAAATTTTTTGATACGTTTCTCCGACGGCGAACAAACTTAAAAATAAGTATGTTTAGTGCTTTATCTGTAAAATTATGCTAAAGTGAAGAGGTTTTAGATTGTACGCCAAAGAGAAAATGATGTCTGAAGTTCATAAGTTTTGCTTATATTACTGTATAAGTATGGCGTCAATTTTACAGCATCAATGCCATGGCATTACGTCACCTGCGTCACTTGTCACGTGATGACGTCACCTGCATCTTCTTGGCAGGTGACGTCATCCCTTGGGTATTTAAGAAGCCACGATCGCAGTTTTAGATCACCCCTGACGAAGACACTAGACTGGAGTGTCGAAACGTTGGGTCTTGATTACAATTCGACTGGCCTTTGTAATCATTTATTTAAACCAGAGTAGCGAGCGAAACATGATTGATATACCTGGTTGCAGTGAACGAACAAACTTTATACAATAACTTCTGTTTAGTTTCCATGGATTGTGATAATTTTGGGGCTAGGACGTCAAATTAACAGACTGCATTGACAAATACCTTTCAGTATCACGTCGCATAACAATCAATTTCTTTTTCTCGGTTGCAACATAAAACTCATTTTGCTGTGTTAATGTCGCATATGAGAGAAATGTTTGACGTCGATCTTGATCGTTTGATTTCGCTGAGAAACAAGCCATTATGTCGTTCATATCTGTTTCTTTTCCTCTCGCTATCAAATAATTACCGGCATCTTTATTGTCAAAAGAGACCGCCACTTTGCTTCCTGCAAAAAGAACGTACGTACTCAGTTACAACCTTGGACATTTAACAGTTATTCGCCAAAGGCGAGGTGATTATTGGGGAATAGTCACCGAGACGAAGTCGAGGTGAATTTGTCTTTGATAATCACCGAGCATGTATGAGGCAAATAATTGTTTTAGTATTTTTACATAAGTCTTTTGTGTTTTTCGGGACTGTTTTTTTTTTATTTTCGCTTATTTCTAGTAACTTCCAGAAAACGGCTAGCCGCCATTTTGCAACTTTCGGTTTTGTTATATTCACCTGCATGTTCATATAGGTGACTATAACAGCTTAATACGTCAAATTTGACCAATCAACTTGTAGGATTTGTTTTATTCTCTAGCGCAAAAATAATAAAACTGGTTGAGACTACTTTTAATTCCTTCTAAACAAAATTCACATGATAAATTCCATGTTGAAACACGTTGTGGCTTCGTAAGCCCCTGCTACCCTAACTCAATGTTGGAATACGTCCAAATTTATAAACTAGCTGTTGGGTCGTGTGCTTTGAATTTTAGGTTACCTGGGGTTACAGTAGCCCCCAATCCGGCCCCGTAGCTATGACGCCCCTGTGGACGAGTAACAATTGTTTATAAAATGTAAAGTGCCTACCAGACGTAAGCTTCTTGACAGAAGTGAATTTCGCACTCTCATCGTCTAGAGCTTGTTTCATTTTTCCAAGATCAAGTTGAATCTGTACAAAAGATAAAAAATAGGTACGCCAGGCGTACATGTATCTGCGCATAGCACCACAATAAAAGGTCCAACCTATTTAGATTGTAACAGTAATAGACAACTTTCGTTTACATGCATACAATTAAAAATTGACCATTTCAGAGCACATGTGATAACCGAACTAATAATGAACTAATAATGCTGCCTTGCTACCGTCAAAAAATGTTTGTGTATATGTATAGTTCGTAGATATTCTAATCATGGTAACATTTCGCTGACTTTTTTCTCATATATGCCTAAAAATGATAAAAATATTTTTGCTCGATTTCGTATCCTACCTCCTTGCTTTTATCAATTGAATACTGCAAAAAAGAAAAGTAAATAGTTTTAACTGATAATCATGTATAGAATGGCTGTTTTTATAGAATGGTTGTTTATATATATATATATATAA